AAACCAAACATCCTTCAATAAACATGGGTCGTCATAATAGCAGTTATTTTACCACCCCTACATTAACAGTCTACATCGCTTTGGAAATCCACGGATCGTATCATTGTATACTTCTACACTTAGTGAATCCATGCTAATACGCAATATGAGGCCTGAACAGTCACGAAAACCTACGATATCTCGCTGAGGCATATTAAAAGTTTAATTAAACATCCTCAAAGATACCGGACCAACCTGGCCCAGGGGGGCAGAGCAGAAGTCCCTCTGCAACAACTTTTTTCTCACCGGTGCGGGATAATAGAAGCACATGTGTGCCGACCTACAACAGACAGGGCATATGAGTTGGATAAGGTAGTACGCAGTCAAGAGTAGCCTAAATTAGACACTGCACTGATTTCTAAGAAACTCCAGGGCGTCACGGAATCATACCGTCATGCTTGGCTCGGACACAGGCCTGGGAATCTCAGGGACTGAATCAATACGAGATGTGCCCTATCATATAACATGCCGAGGATGGTAAATTCCTTCGCCATCCAAATCTCATGGGATACTCATACCAAACAGGTCAGGGATTATGAATACTTACTGCCTGGCCAGTAACCGCTCCGGAGTTTCTGTGCATGAATGCATACACATCAGCCTTGATGGTTTTGAACTCATCCATCATTGCCTTCAGCTCCTCCATTCCATTCTGTAGTTGTTCCCACCCATGCTGGAATGCTACACTGTCTGTTAAACCAGTTGACTCGCTGCCGGGATGAGCTGAACTTGCCGCACTGTCGACCTTTGACCGCTTCTTAATCTTTCCCCCAAGGGCCCGTCGGTACAGAGTCTCCCGAACAGAGGGAGTCCGCCCTTCAGGGGGAACCTTGTTTAGCTCATTCTGTAAATAAGTCTACAGGAAAGATTTAAGTGAGGCCGAACTTGCTCTTGTTGTTAGAGATGTAAATACTGACTGAATTGTAACTAAGTTGGGAACGAATTTATTCTACCAATATCTCCTCGGTTTCTTGGTCATCCTTTCCCTTGCCTTGTGTGCGACTGGAAATCCAAATCTCCAGATTGTCGGGGTCCTTCCCCTTTGCCTTGATCTGCAGCAATACAAGGCCTTCTGTCATCGAAAACATAATGAAATACAGGAGAGGAAAATATGGGGATGGAGCATGACATGACTAATTACTTAATTGTAATAAAAGGTACCTCCTCTGCCAGAGTCGTGAATGACTTCCGCCCAGTACGATGTGGAAAGCTTCTTTTCGCTACGTTCGACGCATTTTTCTTGGATTGAAGCTACGTCAATCAAAGTTATTTAGTTCTCAGTCCATGCCCGTGCAGATTTAACGTATATTAATTTGGCATGTCCCTATGCGTACCTTCACCTTCTCGTCGCGCCAATACTCAACCAACTTCGGCCACTGATCGGGCACAATCCTGCTTGAGGGAACCTTCTTCAGTGCTTCTTCATCGTCCTCGATCGGATTGAAGTAAGTTGATTTGATGCTGTATTTCCAGTGCCTCCAAACTTCCCTTAGGTCAGCCAAGACCACTTTCTCCGCTGAGTCTGGTAATCCGCTGTTACTCTGGAATGCCGTTTCACACGGTTTCCACCAGGTCCGGAGAAGATGGTAGGGCCATATATAAGAATCTATATGAAATAAAAGAACTTTCAATTTAATGAAGTTTGCATCACCTGAACCTCCATCCATGCACCCTGTCTCTTCGTCTCCGGTATCTCAGCGAACGTGGGGTAATGTAGAGGAAGTCGAGCTCCGTTGCGTGCAATGACCCCAATGGCTGTCTTGTACTCGTTTACGTCGGGTCCGACGATGCTTTTACCATCCGGCGATGTGAATACAAGCATCCTGTGATCTTTTCCCCATCCACGCGGCATTCGTGCCGCCCCTCTCCCCTGCTTTTTCTTTGACGAACCAGCTGACACAAACAGGAGATTACATGTTCTAATAAGGATATTACATGCAAAATATGAAGTCACTAAATGTAATCGGTAATCTTTGAAGGCTAATTTCCAAACCGTCGTGCGATGTCATCTCGTCCAATGGTGCCATATTGCCCGCCTCTGTTCCTGTCATCAGAGTGGGGTCGGAGCCTGGCCCTTCATCCAAGAGTGGCATATCACTCTCTGCAGTCTCCATGTCCTGCGTCGGCGGAAGTGTCTCGTCATCTGCTTGTGTGGGGGGGATTGTATCATCGTCATCCTGTGTCAGTGCCGTCGGATCAAAAAGTGATGGAACATCCCTATCATCATGTTCCTGTTGGGGTTAACAGTGTCAGCCTATTGTAGTGTTATACTGAGAGTTCAAATAAGGACATGCTTTCGGCAAAGGAACCACATTACCTCCAAAGGGCCCTCTGAATCCTGAAGCACTGCCCTTCGAGTGGAAGATGTTGGCTTCATGCTTTGACCACGAGCATCGCGCTCTTTCTCCCACTCTGATGTGATGGACCGGAGTCGCTGGAGCAGTGGCGAGACCCGAGATCCCTTCCGTTTTGTCACTTTCTTTGTGGGATTGCGGATGGGCGATGGATTCCTGCTTGCGGGATGAGTTGCCTCTAGGGGGCTGTTACGTGCGGATGCCCGGGTAAAACGTCTTGCGGGAGAGACTGCCGGATCCTGTGACCCTCCAACGGCAGCACGTTGAGATTTGCCCATAACCTGCAAGACACCAGTGTTAGTTGGCAGTATGAAAACGTATATTAGGAGAAAATCAAAACACACTTATCACAACAAAGCTTATGAAGTGACATATTACGAGAAATTCACATAATAGTTACTGCAATTAATCAGGGTAAATTGCTTCAGCATACGCAAACGGGGGTAAAGAGCTTATCCGCGTTGACATATTCGGAAAAAATCATAACATCCTGCGCGCGCATAATGGATGCAAAGTGCTTCAGCAAATCAAGCGAAAACAGGGCCTATGAACGATGGCATGCATGTCCGAAAGTGGTTACCTATTACGTACTTCAATCACCGACCCCCCCTCCCCACATAGATGACCATCTGTTGAGATGTGTAATTTATTCTGAACTGCGAACTCAAAAAGGTTGCGTGGTTGCCAAACCATCAAAAATGGGCCAATTAGGCTATATTCGCATACTACCAAAAATGCCCGCTTATTTGATTCTGCGCTAAGCACCATCATCTTCGGAGGATTCCTCCGAATCCGAAGGCGAAGTATCGGCATGGTCCATCTGCCCTGCATCTTCTACTACTTGCCCCTCAATACCTTCCCTTAGCCAGTAATCGGCTGCTCCTCTAACATTGCCTCCGTCATCTAAAGGTAACCCTGTGCTGAATCTATGATCGATCGTACTATACACGTCATACGTGTCTCGCCGTGACACCGGAACGACAACGCTCCAACCTTCATCAACCGGGTCTGCAATGTACCACACCTGAGAGGCTTGGGTCGCTAAGATGAAAGGCTCATCCGTGGGCAAGTTCTTGGGGTACATCAAATACTTAAAGTTCACACATTTATATTTGAACTCATCCTCTTTAACGCCCCTCTCCAGATCCACCCAGTCACATTTTAAAAGGAGATACTTCTGTTGATTGCTATAGTACACTTCCACAATGTCCGTAAGAATCCCGTAATATGCCACGGAACCTTCTCGTGGGTTATGGTCCCTAGCTGAGGCATAACTCACTGTATCTGCCGTAACCATAACACCTGCACACTGTGTCCTCTTCCTTGCATCCCGGTCTTGAACACGATAGCGTATTCCTGACACAATGCACGAAGAGTACCGTGTTGCATTGCATAATGGTCCACCCGCCAATGCACGGATCTCCGCTGAGATTGGGCACTCATCATTATTCGTCGGATCATCTACCTACATTTGATGTAAAGTAGTTCATGAACACTCGTGATTTCAATGTTTTTTGGGAGTGTAGTCAAGATACCACGTACGGACGATGTAGGCGGTACTCACATATGATTGAAACCAAGACGCAAATTGTTCGTTGTGCTGCTGGTGCACCTCACGTGGGGGTGCGCGAGTTCGACATGACCTAATAGTATCAAGGTGAATCCTACAGTGCAAAAATAAAAGTCGAAGATATTCAACACAGGTCGGATACGCATACAAGTATTGTTAAATTGATGTGAAAAAACCTTCGCAACGGACTGATTTCATCTATATTTCCTAGGATGTAGCAATGAATTTGGTGCATCGTATTGTAATCAAGATTGAACCTAGAACCAAACAATCCTTTCCCGTGTTGTGTCCCGTCCTCCTCCCCTCGAGCAGCCCGGTTCTCTTTGGTCTCTATGTCTCCGAGATATCTTGAGCAGAAAGTCACGCATTCTTCCATGAGGTATCCACGTGCAATCGAACCCTCAGGTTGTGCCCTGTTCCGTACGTACCTCTTCAGAGTACCCAAGTACCGCTCAATGGGATACATCCACCGGTACTGCACCGGACCGGCCACCATAGCCTCCTCAGCCAAATGGATAGGCAGATGCTCCATTACATCAAAGAATGAAGGTGGGAATAGCTTTTCAAGATGGCATAGCGTCAAAGAAATTCTTTCTTGGATTCGCTCCAGTTCACGAACTGTGTTATGAGCTGAGCACATCGAATTGAAGAAGTTACAAAGTTCAATCAACACGAGCACAACATTTTTGGGAAGACACCTACAGGAAGTGTTGAATCAGCACCTTCAGTTATATTTAGAGGAGGCATATATCATGTTAATTAAAATAATTGCGTTTCAAGGGTATACCGTCGGGCAGCAATAGGTAGAATTCGTTGCATAAGAACATGGCAATCGTGGCTCTTAAGTCCCCATATTAGTTGTTGTTCTACCTTCACACGACGCGATAAGTTTGAACTGAACCCATGAGGTGGTCGGAGGTCCTTCAACACAGATAGGAATATCCGTTTTTCGGGGTTACTCATGGTGTACGTAGCTGCCGGCAAATATATAGCGCCCCTAGGACCCGATACCGGGTGTAAAGAACTACGTATTTGCATCAACTGTAAGTCTTTCCTCGTGTTCAGATTGTCCTTTGTTTTCCCCTTAGTTCCCAACAATGTATACAGTACATTCTCACACACATTCTTTTCAATGTGCATCAAGTCGAGGTTGTGACGTACCTCATTCTCAGACCAATAAGGGAGCTGAAAGAATATGCTCTTTTTTTTCCACACCTGTTGCTGCCCGTCCACCCCCCGGCGACGCTTGCGAGACCCCTGTGCAATGCGTTTCTCAATCAAGTCAACCGTACGATACTCAGTAGGCATATCCTGAAGCTGCTGCAGAAGTTCAGCGCCGGTCAAGCGAGAAGGCTTTCCGTCAAAGCTCATCGAACCGTCAAATGCATGTTTATCAAAGCGCATTCTATGCCCAGCCGGCAGGAACCGTCGATGCCCGCAATAGCTATACTTATGTCCATTTTTCAGGTATCTGGAATGAGTTTTTAAACCACAAACAGGGCATGCATTCGCCCCACGAGTCGGCCACCCTGACAACATACCGTAACCGGGAAAATCACTAATAGTCCACAGCAATGCAGCTCGCATCTGGAAATCCTCCTTAGTACTCGCATCGTACGTCCGAACACCATCATACCAAAGCTCCTTAAGCTCATCGATCAAAGGTTGAAGGAAGACATCAATCCGATCCCCCGGGCCATGCGGGCCGTCTATAATCGTAGAGAGGATGAACGATGGTTGCTTCATGCACAGCCACGGAGGTAGGTTATATATCACAAGTACGACGGGCCAAATACTATAACTCACACTCATATTCCCAAAAGGGTTGAAACCGTCAGTGGCCAGACCGAGGCGTACGTTGCGAATCTCCTCAGAGAACGTCGGGTACCGATGATCGAAACTCTTCCACGCAGGACTATCTGCTGGATGACGCATCTTGCCATCGTCTACACGCCCTTCGGCATGCCATCTCATAGAAGATGCAGTTTTGGAAGATACGTACCATCGCTGCAATCGCGGAATTAATGGAAAGTACCTTAACTTCTTCACTGGAGATCTATCTTTACCCTGTGTAAATCGCTTTTCCCCACACACAACACAAACCTCACGGTCAACATCTTCCCCGGTAAACAACATGCAATTGTTGATGCACGCATGGATAGTCTTGCATGTGAACCCCAAGTCCTTGGTCAGCTTATTAGCCTCATAGAAGTTCTTCGGAAGGACAACATCGTCTGGAAGTGCATCCCGTAACAGCTCTAACAGCAAATCAATAGAATTATTAGACCAGTGGCACAAAACCTTCAAGTGCAAAAGCCGTGCGATAAACGAGAGTCTACTCATCTTCTTGCACCCTGGTATGAGCTCTTTCTCTACATCTTCTAACATCTTTCTATACCCCTTACTGCCATGATGTATATGTTCATTTTCGTCATCCCTATGAGGTTCATTTCCACTGGGCCCCGGATCGGTGTGCTCTGTATATGCACACTCTCGCAATAGAAGTTCTAGTTCCTCCTCCCAACGCATTGGCATGTTGTCGTTTGCAACAGCAGGGTTCACCTCTCCTTCTCCGTGGCAAGTCCAAACCTTGTAGGTTTGGTCGAATCCATAACGAATACAATGGAGCAAGACATCTCTACGAGATTTTGTTAAGCGATTTCCGCAAGATGTACAGGGGCAATAGATGCAAGATTCAGAGCTACGATCTTTAAATGCGAAATCTAAGAAAGCCCTGACCCCATCCAAATATTGAGCCGAGATATGGTTCGCATCGTCTATCCAACTCCTATCCATCTAAAAAGGCAATATACATGTGATTCCATCAACAAAACATGCATTCAAAATTGTAATGTTTAAGTCTTGATACGGGCTTGCTCCCTCAATTTAAAAGAACAAAGTTATAGCATCAGCTTTAATAAACTGCATTTTTGTACCTATAAGTCCATGTATTGCACTTATAAGTAAAACATAACATTCATCACAACATTAAGGCCCATGGTTTAAAATCAGCCATTATCTCCACTTTAGAACCTTTTATGGATGCCATTTAATGAGAATTAAATGATGTCTACGCTCCGCCAAAAATTCTGAGCGTCATCTCTAGATACTAGAGCAGCAAGAATTATCCATACCCTACTTGGGTCAAGAAAAATTTCCTACTATTCTAAATTTTTCCTTGCCCTTTTGTACGAATATGAAAAAAATCCTCAAATCTGATGTCTAAAGAGTAAAGCAGGTTTGTGGGAATGCACATAACACTTAACTACACCACCACTCGAGAAAACATAGAACACTTAGAAGCTTTGCACTGTGGAAATGCATTAAAAAGAAATCCGACCTTCCGTTAAACTCAATGTTGCTTATCCTGAATTCACACTGCACACTTTTGTCTCCACAATTTAGTATCCTGTAAAAAAACACAAGTTAAATATGCACTCATTTTCAGTTAAAATAGCCCAAATGGTGTTGCTTCCGACAAATCGACGCATACAACCAAGTAACAAAAAAAATGGTATTGGTTCCGACAAAGGAGCCAATACTTAGAGTGTAGATATGATATCATATTCATATTATGCAGCATATGTATGTATCATTATCTAACAATATATGCGTCTGAATCTGTATATATTATGCTGTAGAATCCAATGAAACTTATTTAAATATCCACACATAATAACAAAATTCAAAGTTGTTTTGGAAAGAAGCACTCTATATTGGATAGTGTTGCTAGATCATTTTTGTACTTCATTGCAATTATTGCAGAATGAAAAGATAAAATGAGTGAAAGTCTTGGGAGGGTACACCAATAAATAAATAAAGTTCACAAAACCATCAAATCATAAAGTGTATTTATTAACTTTGCTTGTGTGTGCACTTTGGTTTTTTTTAAAAAAAATAAAAAAATCTTGTTGCATCATATAATCTATACTAAAATAATCTTCTTCCCTCTATTTAATTATCACATCCGACACCTATTTTCTATTCAAAACATAATATCCAAAAACCCTTTTTCCATCCGAAAAATTTCAAATCCAAAAAATCCACAACACAAGCACTCTTTCCCAGATATTATGACTGAAATGCAATACAATTACACAAACAGAGAAGCTGTCATATCTTCATGAAAATTGAAACAGAACCATACACCATTGGAATTTCACATATATTTATCATAATGTAGGATGCCCAAATTCCTAAACCAAACAGCACAAAACATCACACTTAACTTAATCGATAAATTCACTTGGCACAATTGTATACAGTAACAATGTAAAAAATTCAAAAGTGCTGCACTTTGCTGGCTAAATGAATTTTCAGTATCTGTGTTACAAACACATCACCAACATGGTGGATCACGCAATACCAGAGTTTGCTTCTAACAAAACATCAGACTTCCAAATATATGACTCAATGTGTAAAAATATACAAAAGCATATTTTAAATCTAACAGAAGGAGCTTCAAAATAAAACCTAGAGGACAATCTACAATGTAAAATACTACAAATCTTTCAAACTTATCGGCCATTGGTTGTTGTGGCTGAACAACCAACCCTAACAACAAGCAATGAACAAATGGGAATGGAAACGCAAAATAGAATAAACAAAATTCACCGACGAGGGCATGGCGAGGAAGGAAAGCAGGACAAGAAGAAATAAGAGAAGGGAGAAGCTAGAAAAACCACCTACCTGATGGATCGATGCCGGAGACGTGTTCCAAAATCCCTCACTTCAACGGGACGCTGCGGCGGGGAGAATTCGACCAGCGACCAAGGTAGATGAGACTGCAAACGGAAGAAACATAAATTAAAAATCGATATGAGAAAAATGTTTTCACATTATCGATTTTTAACCTACAGGGGCGCCGGCGGCTGAGCAAGTTAGAAGAAGAAAAAAGAAGAGGACGAAGAAAGGATAACTTCGCGTTGGAGAAGAAAGGGGGAGGGCGGCGGGTGTGGGTAGGGTTTATGATTTAGTTATAAGTGATGGGAAAAAATGAATGATAATATTATTTTATTTTTACATATTTATATTTATTTTTTAAAAAAATAATTTAAAATTATATTTAAAATAATGGTATAATATGATATAAATAGATATTGAGTCAATGACGTGATATTTTAAATATAAAATTAATTTTTAGTATATTATTAAAGTAAAAAATATTTATTTGATTTGATATTTTTAGCAAAAAAAAAATATGAATAATAATTTGAAATTTGAAATTTTTTTATAAAAGAACACAATAAATAAAAGAACAAAAAAATAAATTTTCTAAATTTAAATATATCATTTTCTTCAATAAAATATTATTTAAATATCATCTCTTTCAAATTATCACATCAATATATCATTTTTTTCAATAAAATAATAATTTCATCCTACATAATCATTACAAAATTCAAACTCTCAAACAAATTCAACTTAAAAATCCATACTTCAAAATTCTCCAAAATCCAAATCCAAAATCCAATCATCCAACCAAACACACCCTTTGTAAATTTTATAAATATAATTAATTAATAATAAATCTTTATTTATATTTATTTTACATTCAATTTGTTAAAACTAGGAGGAAGGCGGCTGGTAGATAGTGCAATATATTTTTACTTATTTATTATATATTGTAATAAATTTTATATACAATTAATTAATAATAAATTTTTATTTATATTTATTTTACATTCAATTTGTTAAATATTATTTTCAATATTTGAAGTTTGATTATTTTTTTAATTTTTAATTTTTTATTAAAAATTATAAAAAATGCTTTTCTTTGTTACAGAATAAAGTCGTAATTATTGTATTTACGATATTTTTTTGTCATATTTTTAATTGTTACGAAACATTTATCGTAATAAATAAAAAAAGACGTTGACTAATAAAAATTCCTTTTGTCACGAAAAAATTCATAACAAAAACCATCTTTTATTATGACAATATTGTTACGAATCTTCTTTCCGTAATGAAAGCCCATTTTTTTGGTAGTGGAGATTATGCCCTAATTTGTCGAAGATACCTCGCGTAATACAAAATCTTTTTCGAGCTACCTTCAAAACCTTACCTGGGTGAGGTGCGCCGGAGTAGATCCCAGGGACGGATCGATTTCACCTCGCGCGTCGTCGTCGGCAGCTACAGGAAATCGGATCGCGGGCGACTGTGAGAAGCGAACGAGGGAAATGAACCAGATGCCCTAATTTGTCTAAGTGTGGGATGATATAGCGTTTTTGTCCATTTTGATCGTTTCTGGAATGAAAGCGTCAATCCAGTATTTTACTTCTTTTTTTTTTTTTTTTTTTAATTTAACTTTTCCAAAAATAAAAAATTAAATACCAGTAGTTACGAACACTTTACGTAACTAATGTTATTTTGACCAAATTCTACCATCTCATTATTTGTTACGATATTTTTTGCGTAACGACAGAACCTAAAACGTTGACCGGGTTTTTTTTTTTTCGTCACGGATTTTGTCGTAACTAATATATCTATTTGTTACGATTTTATTGTTACGGACTCTCAACCCGTGGTGAATAGCCCTTTTTTTGGTAGTGATGCTATATAATATAAAGGAAAAACATTGAAAAACAAAAGCGCTAAATATACTAATTTCGAACACTCTACAACAAATACGAATAGCTCTGTAATTAGAACTATTGAGAGCTCAAAGTAAGTATAATCTATAACATGCTATATAACACAAAGGAAAAACGTTGAAAAAACAAAAGCGCTAAATATAATAATTTCGAACACTCGACAACAAATACAAAAAGCACCGTAATTAGAACTATTGAGAACACAAAGTAAGTATAATCTATAACATGCTATATAATACGAAGGAAAAATATTGAAAAAACGAAAGCGCAAAAAATACTAATTTCGAACACTCTACAACAAATACGAAAAGCACTGTAATTAAAACTATAGAGCACAAAGTAGGTATAATCTATAACATGCTATATAATACAAAGGAAAAACATTGACAAAACGAAAGCGCTAAATGTACTAATTTCGAACACTCTACAACAAATACGAAAAGCACTGCAATTAGAACTATAGAGTACAAAGTAAGTATAATCTATAACATGCTATATAATATAAAGGAAAAACATTGAAAAAACGAATGCGCTAAATATACTAATTTCGAACACTCTACAACAAATACGAAAAGCACTGTAATTAGAACTATTGAGAGCACAAAGTAAGTATAATCTATAACATTCTATATAATATAAAGGAAAAACATTGGAAAAAACAAAACCGCTAAATGTACTAATTTCGAACACTCCACAGCGAATACGAAAAGCACTGTAATTAGAACTATAGAGCACAAAGTAAGTATAATCTACAACATTCTATATAATAAAAAGGAAAAACATTAAAAAAAAATGCGCTAAATGTACTAATTTCGAACACTCCACAACGAATACGAAAAGCACTGTAATTAGAACTATAGAGCACAAAGTAAATATAATCTATAACATTCTATATAATACAACGGAAAACAATTGAAAAAGCAAAAGCGCTAAATGTACTAATTTCGAACACTCCACAACGAATACGAAAAGCACCGTAATTAGAACTATAGAGCACAAAGTAAGTATAATCTATAACATGCTATATAATACAAACGAAGAACATTGAAAAAACGAAAGCGCTAAATATACTGATTTCGAACAATCTACAATAAATACGAAAAGCACTGTAATTAAAACTATTGAGAGCACAAAGTAAGTAGAATCTATAACATGCTATATAATACAAAGGAAAAACATTGAAAAAACGAATGCGCTAAATATACTAATTTCGAAGACTCTACAACAAATACGAAAAGCAATGTAATTATAACTATTGAGAACACAAAGTAAGTATAATCTATAACATGCTATATAATACAAAGGAAAAAGATTGAAAAAACGAAAGCGCTAAATATATTAATTTCGAACACTCTACAACAAAAACGAAAATCACTGTAATTAGAACTATTGAGAGCACAAAGTAAGTATAATCTATAACATGCTATATAGTATAAAGGAAAAACATTGAAAAAACAAAAGCGCTAAATGTACTAATTTCGAACACTCTACAACAAATACGAAAAACAATGTAATTAGAAGAAATATTGAGAGCACAAAGTAAGTATAATCTATAACATTCTATATAATACAAGGGAAGAAAATTGAAAAAACGAAAGCGCTAAATTTACTAATTTCGAACACTCCACAACGAATACGAAAAGCGCTGCAATTAGAACAATAGAGTACAAAGTAAGTATAATCTATAACATGCTATATAATATAAAGGAAAAACATTGAATAAACAAAAGCGCTAAATGTACTAATTTCGAACACTCTACAACAAATACAAAAAGGAGTATAATTACAACTATTGAGAGCACAAAGTAAATATAATCTATAACATGCTATATAATACAAAGAAAAAACATTGAAAAGACGAAATTGCTAAATATACTAATTTCGAACACTCTACAACAAATATGAAAAACACTGTAATTAGAACTATAGTGCACAAAGTAAGTACAATCAATAACATGCTATATAATTCAAAGGAAAAACATTGAAAAAACGAATGCGCTAAATATACTAATTTCGAACACTCTACAAGAAATACGAAAAGCAATGTAATTAGAACTATTGAGAACACAAAGTAAGTATAATCTATAACATGCTATATAATACAAAGGAAAAAGATTGAAAAACGAAAGCGCTAAATATATTAATTTCGAACACTCTACAACAAATACGAAAAACACTGTAATTTGAACTATTGAGAGCAGAAAGTAAGTATAATCTATAACATGCTATATCATATAAAGGAAAAACATTGAAAAAACAAAAGCGCTAAATATAATAATTTCGAACACTCGACAACAAATACGAAAAGCACTGTAATTAGAACTATTGAGAGCACAAAGTAAGTATAATCTATAACATTCTATATAATAAAAAGGAAAAACATTGAAAAAACAAATGCGCTAAATGTACTAATTTCGAACACTACACAACGAATACGAAAAGCACTGTAATTAGAACTATAAAGCACAAAGTAAGTATAATCTATAACATTCTATATAATACAATGGAAAAACATTGAAAAAACAAAAGCGCTAAATATACTAATTTCGACACTCCACAACGAATACGAAAAGCACCGTAATTAGAACTATAGAGCATAATGTAAGTATAATCTATAACATGCTATATAATACAAATGAAGAACATTGAAAAAACGAAAGCGTTAAATATACTAATTTCGAACAATCTACGACAAATACGAAAAGCACTGTAATTAGAACTATTGAGAGCACAAAGTAAGTATAATCTATAACATGCTATATAATATAAAGGAAAAACATTGAAAAAACGAAAACGCTAAATTTTCTAATTTTGAACACTCTACAACAAATACGAAAAACGCCGTAATTAGAACTACAGAGCACAAAGTAACTATAATCTATAAATGCTATATAATATAAAGGAAAAACATTGAAAAAACAAAATCGCTAAATATTCAAATTTCGAACACTCGACAACAAATACGAAAAGCACTGCAATTAGAACTATAGAGTACAAAGTAAGTATAATCTATAACATGCTATATAATATAAAGGAAAAACATTGAATAAACAAAAGCGCTAAATGTACTAATTTCGAACACTCTACAACAAATACAAAAAGGAGTATAATTAGAACTATTGAGAGCACAAAGTAAATATAATCTATAACATGCTATATAATACAAAGAAAAAACATTGAAAAGACGAAATTGCTAAATATACTAATTTCGAACACTCTACAACAAATACGAAAATCACTGTAATTAGAACTATTGAGAGCACAAAGTAAGTATAATCTATAACATGCTATATAGTATAAAGGAAAAACATTGAAAAAACAAAAGC